AAAAACCTCTCGCATACAGGATCCCAGTCCCGACATACACTTTCAGTGTCTTTCTAGCAAGTTTTCTTTAAAAAAAAAAACAAAAAAAAAAGTTCTGTGAAGTGCAACTTCTATTCATACCTGCATTTGTATTTGTTTAGAGCACATTATCTGTTCATTCCAAATATTGTATTCGTATTTTTATATGTATTCTTAGTCACACACCTAGTTCACATGGTCAGGAGTACTTGTAAATATATGCATATATAACACGCAAAAGAAAAACTTGATCACATTCAATGATTTACACACAAAACTATTTCTCCACACTAGGCCACGGAATCCACTGCCATAGTTTAAATCCTTCCCTACTCCCCGCTCTGCTGGCCCAATTCATGAACGGCTTGTTAAATAGTTAAATATTGCAAAACTGTGGGACTGGAACCTCTGATCTCAACAGATAAACCCGGTCTGAAAACAGTGCATTTTTTGCGAAAAACTGTTTTGCAAAGATTTCTATAACAAAGACTGACACTACATCACAGCAAGATGAGTAGAAGCTTTTCAGACATAACCACAGAGCCTGACATGGTGCTGATTGCACTAATAACAGTCATTTTTCATTTGAGCACTCCCTATTTCTATACAAAAAGCTATCAACTGATTCCATCACAACGCAGACGATGCAATTAGCTTGGGCAGTTTTGCATATGCCATTGCCATTCCATTTTTTTTTTTGCCATGTTTTTTTTATATATTCATCCATCTTCCTCCTGGCACCAGCATAGAAAATCTGCAGGATAAAGCTTATTCCGGTGTTACTGGGACAACACGCACCAGCACACACAATGAAAACAGAGTAACTGAAAAGAGATTGGGCAAATAAATGGAAAGCTGGAGTCTTAGTGAAAAGAAGGCAGAAGAATAGAGCGACTGTATTACACTCATAACACGGTGGATGAGGGGGAGAGGAGCGAAGGAGGGAGATTCGCCAGCAAATATACACAGCAGGAGATGAACAGAAGATTTCATTTTCACGACTATAGACAGCCGTGCTGCTCAACTGCTCATTTAATGTGTATTATACTTTTTATGGAGCCTCATTTGGCGCGATAATCTCATAAAAGAAGAATTATACGCATATTTGTTGCAATCAGTAGCCAAGACAGACTCTTCTTGGTTAGAGCAGAATAGTTTTCACCATAATAGCAGAGTACTTGCATATCAGCATGTTAGCACTAAAATAAACATGCAAGTCTCATAACCAATATGAGGAATCATCAGCAGAGATTTTCGCAGCCTTCGAGAAGCACAGCTCTGTTTATGAAAAACATACACATAGGGCAGTACATGCGGTGTGAAAGATTGAACAATAGCTTGAAGTGGAGAGGAGAGAGGGAGAAGAAGCAACCGAATGCAAAAACAAAAGACCTGTTGCCGAAAGCTTTGTGGGCAAAACCAAAGAACACCCACACAAGCACGCCTGACTCATTAAACATACTGCCGGCTGTTACCTTTGACAATGGTCTGACCCTGCAGCTGCTCCTGTGGGATAAACACAGTGTAGAAGTTCTGGGAGAATCCGAGTCTACATTGATCCACAGTCAGACTTCCAGC